AGAAAGTAACTTTAGCCGTCATGTAATCACGGAGTGTTTCTTGAACCGTAATGTGACAAGAATAATTTGGTTTTTATCGTAGCGAGCGGTTTTTCTGATATGTTTGCAACGTTGCGAAGACACATAACTCGGAAAGAAAAGAGCAAATTCCGTCTGATATCAATGAACGAACTAGCGCTCACGCGCTCACAGAAAAATTCATGAAGATATCAAGAGCAAACGCACGAAGCATGCGAAAACTTGTCCGACTAATCCGTTCTTTTTTTTGGCTTTCGTTCGTTGTTCAGTGAGAGATGTGTGATGAAAAGCATAAACTTCGCAGTTAGTCATGTTTCTTCGAAGGCACTAACTCATCAGGAAGAGTTCGTTCGTTTTCAATTTCAGGACAACACTTCCGATTATTGGTGGTCGGAGGCGGAGCAGCTGGAATGGGTGCCAGTCACAAATTTGCCAGAAAACTTCCAAAGTTCTCCGTTGCTGTCGTTGAGCCCAATTCGGTGAGTTTCACACCCCAGAGACAGTCTCTGGGGAATGAGTAGTTTTGTCTGGCAAAAAGAGGAACGAGCTTGAATGGGTTAAGGACCAAAATTAGCATACCCGAGCACTGCGAGCAGAGCACTTAGTAGTTTGGAAAACCTTCTGCTGATTAGACCCCCTCCCCTACCACAAATGTTCTCTTTCGGTCACCGCTCCAACCTACCTACCCCGTTACCAACTTTTTCCCCAAGGTTTTGCCTCTGCTATCAAAAAAGAAAGAGGTAAGGAAGTAGACACCTCTAATCAAAATGAAGTGAAAATTAATTAATTCTAAATGCTCCAATTAAAAACGGAAGTTTTGCCAAGTCAGCAATAGGAGTGTACCTGAAGCGGGGAAAAAATCAACGAAAATCATCAATCAGGAATTTTTCAACAAGTCAGATGCGACCTCCCCCACGTTATGCTTTACATGGCGATTATATACTATCTGCTACACCCAGCGAGTAGTGCAAGGGAATCGGTCATACTTCAGAAAAATCGATTCATAGGCTCCTTGGTCTGCGTACAGCGTGATAAACTGAGCGCGCTCCACCGCTAATCGTTGGACCGCCGTGATTGCTAACTCAGAGTCTGCTTGAAATCAGTTTCCCGAAACGGTCCAGCACTTCGTGATGAAGCGCAATAAGTCAAGCACCGCGACAAAACTGCTCTAGTCGCAACATGGGAACCGGGTTTTACCTCATGAAGCTCACGAAAATCTTGAAAATTAGATGTGTGTAGCGCTTATCCTCTGAGAGCTGTATTTGACAGACTCCTGTCACTATACTGTGCACTTTACTGAAGCCCTGTGGCTTTCCGTAGAGCTGCGTAATGATATATATGCATCCACACTATGCCAGAATCATGCCAACTATGTTCGGAGAGATTTTATTATTTTATTTGTTATTATTTATTTCATACACTCAGATGAGTTCCATCATAAGAAAATACCAAGAAGGGAGCAGGATGCAAGGGTACCAGGGTGGAGATGTAGGTGGTCAAAATACACACTAAGAAGAAGAAGCGCGCCCAGTGCCTAGAATACATAAGGAGAATTAGGTCGGAGTAGAATTGAATCGGAATAGCCCCTGTGTCTATGTGTTCATACAAGCCTCTTGGTAAAGATCTAGGCCGAAAACGGACAGAAACGCCAGTTGTTAACCAGTATCCTCACCAGTTGGCCATGGTGTCCTCCAACCGATAGGATTGAAGGCATAATGTCGGAACTTCGGAACACGGGTATGCCAACATCCCACGTGGAACCGACATAATGGATAATGGTATAAGAGCAGAAGGTAATCACTGGCAGGGTAGTGAGGCATGTAAAGATGAGGGGCATGATCTAGATAAAGGGCGTGAAGTAACCTTAGTGGGAAGACCACTTACATCTCCGATAAAAAGGAACAAAAAAAACAAGAAACGAAAGGAGAACAAGGGACAATAAAAACCAGGACGAAACTAACTAAAGATTTAGAGAAAAAAAAAGCCTGAAAGATTTCTGTTGGTGGGAGGGTACAACGGTGGTGATGATGACCTAGTAGTTCAGATTAACGTGAAGACGCAGCAGAAATCCTTGTGGTAATATAATTCCGCAAACAAGCCGCGAAACGAAGGATTGAGAAACGAAACGAGCAAGAATACGGGTCGGGTCCAGGCCGAACAGAATTGACTGGTAGAACTTGGTTCGACGGAGTAGCTCCTTAGTGATAGCCAAGTCGCAAGCTCAAGTCCACACAGTAGCAGTAGCCTACATTCAGCGAAGGATCCGAGAACGATACAACTGGTAGAACTGAAAAAGAGAAAGATGAAGCTGAAAACGACAGAGATGAAGCTATGTGGAATCATCAAAGCCTAGAACTTGTAATAAGTCAATTTTTCGTAGTCTTCTCCTGAAGGTAAAGCTATCTGCAGAACTGAGTATGTCAGTGGGCAGTAGTCGGAGCCATCTAGCTGCTCTGCAAAAGAGGAAGTTAAACATCGTTGAGAAATTCTTCCTTTTGATTTTGGCGTAGTGGAGAATGAATCCACCGGTCCTCTCACTGCAAGGTTGGAAGACCCAATATTTGCTGGGTTGAAGTTTTATTTCTTTACGCAACATTTTAAAACAGAAAACCAAGTCCGAAGTAATGCGTCTGTAACGCAGACTACTCATTCCTAAATACCTGAGGCGTACTTCATAGCTAGGCAAATTCGACGGGTTAATGTGTTTGGAGCAACGAAAAAATACGAGTTTTGTGAAGACTTTCTGAACATTCTCAAGCTTACGGATATGTTTTTTAAGAGAAGGATTCCAAACCTGAGAATTGTATTCAAGGTGTGGCAATACATAGGTTTTGTAAAGCCGAACGAGTATTTTGGGATCATTGCTGTGAATGGTACGGAAGATTGAGAATAATGTAGCAAAAGCATTCCTCACTATACGGTCAATATGACACGTGAATTTTAGGTTGGAGTCAATCTCTATACCAAGGTCCTTGACAATGTTGCAGGTCTTAAGTGTAGTCCCATTGATCTCGTAAGCGTTGGGGTAACCTCTACCAATGTGCATAACACAGGATTTGTCGAGGTTAACTGTTAGACTCCACTGAACAGCCCATTGGCTTAATGCTTCCAACGATGCTTTAAGGGCAGCGCAAACTTCCGCACGGTTAATGTCATTATAGATACCATAGATTTTGATATCGTCAGCATATATTTGAACTTTAACATTGGGATATGCTGTTAGTACGGCGGCAAGATCCATTGTGTAGATAAGGAACAGGGTTGGAGAGAGGACGCTACCCTGAGGGACCCCACTCGTACAGCAATACTTATTGGAGAAGCTTTGCCCAACCTTTACAGTAAAGTATCTATCGGTCAAATATGACTTGAACCACTCCAATAACATTCCACCTATACCGATAAACTCAAGTTTCCCTATCAGTTTGCTGTGATCAACCTTGTCGAATGCTTTAGAAAGGTCAATATAAATAATATCAATTGAATTCCCTCGGTTCAGTGCAGTGTTCCAGTCATACAAGCTGTCTATTAGGTTAGTTGCTGTTGAGACGCCAGGAAGGAATCCATGTTGCTGGGGCGGAATGACATGGGATTTGAGGAGATGGGACACCAGCTTATCCCTGATTATTTTCTCCATGACTTTCACAGAACAAGGTGTGATACTTATTGGTCGAAAATCTGATACCAATTTAGCAGTGGAAACCTTCGGGATGGAGGTCACTAGTGATTCTTTCCACATTCTAGGTACCTCACCTAACATCAATGAGATGTTGAAAATGTGTGCCAAGGGTTTACATAAGGAAGTGGCACATTTTTTGAAAACTATCGGGGGAATGCCATCAAATGGTTCAGAAATTGATGGTTTCAAACGCACGAGAATTTTTAGGACATCATATGGGTGGAAGAACACATTATTGCAGTAATACCTCGAATATGTCAAATTAAGAGGGCAATCGGAAATGCTTGTATGGCGTTCAGAGAAAACAGTAGCGAAATAACTCGCTAGGGCATCTGCTATAGAAGCATCCCCGCTATAGCTAGATCCATTGAGATCGGTCACAAGTGAGGGAATCTTGCACGACTTCGTCTTGTGTCGGATGTAAGCATGAAGGTATCTAGAAGAGACTTTCGATGCCAGTTTACGCTCATGATAAGCCCAAAACTTTTTTAAGTGATGATCAATATCAGAACATACACGTTTGTAGTGGGTGTTCTCAAGTGGGTTCAAAGAATTTTTGAAAACTCGTAGTTTTTTGATCAAGTAGGTTTTGGATATGTCTAGGATATCTGCAATAGTATGGCTGTCGTATTTTGAAAGGCACAAATATTGCGAGTTTCTTATATAACACACCACAAAATCTACAGTAAACATCTGTGGCTGAGTCATAATTATCAAATACTTGTAACCAGTCAACTTCACTTAGACTACGATTGAGGCCAACATAATCTACATGAAGGAAGTCAGGCAGTGGTACAATACTCTGACCTGAGGAGACCGTTTTCACGCTGAAGGATACAACAAGATGATCGGATGAAGCGAAGGGAGGGAGAGTTTTCACGTCGTCAACAATAAAAGATGAGGTGAGAATGATGTCGAGAATACTGTGACCGTGAGTTGGCTGGGTCACGAGTTGGCTAAGACCAAGATTCCCAAAAAACCTCATATAAACGTCCGGATATAGGGTTTGCAGCCGTGGAGTTGACCCAGTCTATATTAAGATTGAGATCGCCAAGAACAATTGTATTGCAGTTGGTGGAGGAGAGAGTAGCAAGCAAATCAAGAAGGGAGTCATCATCGCTAGTACATGACCGAGGTGGACGATAGACAATGATAAATCTCACTGGTGATAGCGAAGAGAGGAAAAGCGTGTCAACACAAAGGACATCAGCTTTAGGGGCGACTACATGGGGCCTCATTCGCATTAAAAGTGAATTCTTGAAGATGCATTTGTTTTCAGAATCACTATTATCAACCAGGATTCACAATGGTTGGTGGTGGTTGGATGACGATCGAACAGAACACTAGGTTACAAAAGGATCTCATCCATCCGCAAACGGTTTGGCTTCACGACCACGTGACGAAGTTTGAGCCGAAAAAGAACATGGTCACGCTAGGGTATGTTGAATGGTATTGGCAGAAAAGGAAAAGATACCCGGCGTTTTGAAGGCACGGTCCGCGATCAGGTATAGAAGTTGAAAATATGGCGTCGGGAGGGTAGTGTGGTCCGCGACGAACAACCTTGTACCGGTTTCGCGGCAAAAATTGTAAGGGAGGGGCGCTATAGCGCAATATAGGTTCAGTGACGCCTTTTTTCCCAGTGACTCCGCCTCCAGACTCCGCCCTCAAGGCCCGCCTTTCAGTGAAAAACGAAGCTGCAGGACGAAAAAGCATGAAAATCGTCACTTGTACGGTCGTAGAGTTCTTATCGGGGAATCAGCTGTGCGGATGAGGGCATAGAGGTGGGGTCACTTGGGCGCATACAATCTGAGGATCGGAATGGGGTTCTATCTGGGGCAGTTGGCATGTTTTTTCTGCTTTTTTCTTCACTATCGAGTTCAGAACCTTGTCGTCTGCATGCAAACCCTTAATCCACTATCTGTGATGGCGAATGACCGTGGGTTGCCTTTAAAGGCAGTTGGCACGATGGTTTCCTACTTAGCCTAAAATGCTAGTAGGGCGCTGTATAGTGGGGAAATGGCGAAAGAACGGAGTGAAACGGTCAAAATCCTGCGAAGAAAAAGCCTCCGTTCTCAGTGACTTGTAAATCGATTTCGGACGAGTTTAGGCATCTTACCAATCACCGCTACCGAAGATACGGCTGCATATGTGTACCCATGTATGCATGCAGCATCACGGCCGCTTCATACCAATCCCTTCGCTTCATAATTTGCTTAGCAAATGAATGAATACGAGCGTCAGGAACGGTCGTCCATTTGTGGGCGGGCGGGGCGGGCGTTTGGGACGTAAAGTTGTGGCTTGATAGGGCCCTTATAAGGGCACCTTCCTCGGGGAAACCGCTATGCAGCGCCTGCCCAGGGTCGCGGAATTCTATCCTGCCAGGAGTATTGATCCTAGTCGTCTTGGGGGATTTATCGTGCCAACTGCCTTTAAACATTTTTTTGGAGTGCTTGAATTCTATAGACTAGTGTCTGGGCAGAATTGCAGGCTAAGACAAGCTCGAAAGGAGAGGAGGGGTGGAGGAACTCTGCATGGAAAGCTGTTGATGTGAAAGGATGGAATTCAATGTGCGTATTGAGAAGAAAAACTGGGAGGTTTGTGCTAAAGACAGAGTGCTAGCGTAGGCAACAAAAGGTATTCCTGATAGAAAAAAGAGGCTAGGTTCATATGAAGAGAAAAGTAGTTTCAAATGCGGTAGCCGGGTAAAGGCAGAGTGTACATGGAAGTACAGAACTAAGGAGGAGATGGAAGGGCAGAAGCAGAAGGAGTTGCTGGGGAAAGGAGATAAATAGACCTGGCCTTATGTCACAATGAAGGTCTCGGTTTGTTTCCTTCGAAACATCGATTTGCAGCGCTTCCCTCGCTTTTCTATCTTATGCTTCTTTTTCTGAACTTTTTTCACTTTTTTCACCGTTCCATTTGCTGTTTTTCTAAGTTTTTTTCATCGAGGTGTGTAATCGTTCCTCGGGTGTAAGTAAACAAAGGTGGTAAAAAACGACTAGAATGAGAAACAGTTGGCCTTACGGCAAAACGCGAACACGCCCAAGGCCCTCCGTCACCATTGCCTGAATACGAGTCCGTTCAGTGTGGGAGTTCTCTTACCTCCTCAGTTCCATTTGCCCAGGAAGAAACCTCTCGGGGCAACTCACTTCTGATCTCGAAAGATTCCCTTATCTTACTTCTTTCTTAATTTTTGCCATCCTATCCTATCCAGGGCACAGCGTGCAATGGTGACGACAAAGAATTAAGAAAGAATTGAGCTAAGACGACAAAAAAATGAGAAAAAAAGTCATAAACCCGGAAAGATAAAGATCAATAAAGTTCTGAGACCGGAATAAAAATTCATTGCGTTTTTGTAGGAATGGTGATGAGATAACGTACGACTATATGATTTTGGCAACTGGTGTGGAGCTACGATGGGATATGGTGAGGATTTCTTCGGTGGATATTGCGGCGTCCAAATTCCAGCGGCTTGAATTTGTCTTTTCACACTTTCAGGTCAAAGGCTTACCAGAAGGTCTCGATACCCCTGGTGTCACTTCAAACTATTCACCAAAGCACTGCACGAAGACCTTCAAAGAGCTGAACGCTGTAACGGTAATATTAGTTGTGGTGAAGAAAGGCGTCACGTAATTTAAAATGCCTTTCGATCATCGCATGTTTTTAATGAGTGCCCATTGCTGGCTAGTGATAAACAGTAGCGGTCAAAAGTTTGGAAACATTCATTCTTCTTGTTCCAGCGGGGTCGAAAAATAAGGTTTCAAGCCGTTTTATTTGTACGGTAGACGAAGAATTATGTTACAAGAAGTATACTCAAAATCCCTGAGATCGGGTAGGCGTGGCCGCATGCTTCAACTTAACCTGAAGGTGTCTATGCTTCTGGTGAGATATTTTCATCTTGACACAATTGTTGTCGTGTCTCTGTCCAACACAGAACAAGATGACAGTTGTCCCAGACTGGAATATTCCACGAGTAACCAGTTCCGTGCCATGTTCAAATGCCACGCCTACTCTGGCTCAGGGATAAGGAGTGTATGTGCAGCGCGTGCCCTTGAGAATCGAAAACATGTCTTGTGAGATACGAATTATTACAAAAGTAAAGCGTGTAAAGTTTGGAAACTCTCTGAGAAAGAGGGATAGCAGCGGTACAATGTTAGGTAAATATACTCGAAATCTCTGAGATCGGGTAGGCGTGGCTGCGTACTGATTTCAAAATGGCTGTGGGCCAGGTTGTGATTTTCATTTTGGAGCAGTCGTAATCATGTCTACATCTAACACAGAACAAGATAGCAGTTGTTTCAAATTGAAGTATCCCACGAGAACCCGTCCTATGCCATGCTCAAAAGCCACGCCTACTCCGTCTCAGGGATAAGGAGTGTAATGATCAAGCAAACATTCAAACATTATGAAGAGAGATACATGTTTATCCGTATCTAACCACCCAGTATTGAACAGCAGATCTATAGCGACAGTGTGACATTTACAACGACAGCCTGCGTTGTATTTTGCAGATTCTGAATCGATTTTGACAACATTTCTAGACTGATGAAATGTAGTCTACTTTGAACAAAAATTAAGCCACTTAATAGCATTTATCGGAAGGAATGTGGGTAATACACGAGGAAGGATTCTCCAAAAAATCTTCGCTCGATAAGGCCGTAATTGAAACTGCGCGCTTCATGTAGGTAGTCTTCTCTACACGGGGGGCCCAAAAAAAGACTTTTTTCTTCCTCGACTTTCGAGGCGCTATAAGTTACACTTTATTAAATTCTTATTTTCTACCACCATATTAAAGAGCATATTAAATACTATCATGATACTCCGCCACAGCCTTCTGGAGGAGCGCCATCGAGAGATTCTGCCACGCGACCGTCAGTGGGTGCGTGAGTTCAGCGAGATCGTTGATTTCTCCGCCACTGTAGACCACCCTATTGAACTCCGCCCGAACCAGGTAATTGAGGGGGTTTAGGTCAGGTTACCTGCTTAGATATTCCACCTTCTTCAAGGTAGGCAAGAGTTTTCCCAACGCCCTTTGATTCCATGTGGT